GAAATTTTATTACGAAATAAATCAAAAGCAGTCTCATCTGTAAAGATGATATAGTCCCAGTTATCGTTCAAATGAGCCTGTGCCCATGTTTTTCGAGCATCGATATGACTACTGGTAAGCATTGGGATGGAAAGTGATACGGTACTATTATACCCTTTTTTGCCATGTGTCCTCAAATATTAGTATGTGAAATAGATACATTATGTGTATCTTGAATTCGAACTAAGTTGACGTGTTGTAATTGCAGAATTATGGTGAGCCAATTGCCTAATTGAACGTGAAACAGTGCGTGTAACCTTAGAACGACGGCCATTACCACCAATATGTTTAACAGTATCTTTTTCTTTGAGTATTTTGATGTTGTATTGAATAGTACGAATGGGAATCTTTGTTTTGTATATATTTGTTTGGCAGTACGAATTACATTTAGCCAGTAACGTAGAATTGTTTGACGTTGCGCCTCAAATTCTTGATTGGTCATATTTGCAAAGTTTAAACGAAATAAACAATAAAGTAGGATAATTTCTTTTTTTGTAATGAGATTAAAAGAAACAATAAACATTTATAAAAATGGTAATCAGGACAATAATATCAAAATAAAAGGAACTTTTGATAAAAACGTTGGTCACTTGAAGAGAAAATGAATTCGAACAAACAACATGTCACATTATCATAAATCAGTTTTAGGAGTTTGAAATACTTTGGGAGTTTTGAAATAGTTTAGGAGTTTCAGGTTAGTTTCGAAATTTTCTAAACTAATTTAGAAAGGAAGTTAGAGTTTAGAAGGAACCTCTATTTTAATCATGTAATGCATTCATTTTTGATGTTTATTTCATTCAATTGCATTGGCATTGAATGTTAGTTATTCTAAATAATTAAACAACTTGTTGAAGAACGAACATGGAGCTCTACATATTTGTGATCATTGCATTGTCCAAATAAAAATTGAATTGTCCTTTTAAGTAGATGATTATTTTTATAGTCCACAGCAAAATTTTATTTAATTGACAATTAGAAAGTAAAGTGAACATTAAAGCAATCAAAATATATTGTTTCTAATTCCAAACTCCTTAATTTATCCAATTTATTTCTTTTAAAAGAACATGTTTAATGCTATTTATATAAAAAAATGTCATATTTATTATCATCATTGTTTTTTTCATTTTTCAATTTACTGACTTCACTTTCCAATTTATTGACTTCACTTCTCAATTTATTGTTTTCATTATTCAATTTATTGATGGTATTACTATTTTTATTGATTGATTTATTGTTTTTACTGATTGTTTGATCTTGTTTTTTGATTTTATTTCTCAATTCATTGATTATTTGATCATTGTTTTTACTTTCAAATTCATTGTTTTCACTTTTCAATTTACTTTCCAATTTATTGACTTCACTTTTCAATTTATGGTTTTCATTACTAAATCTACCAATTGTTTGATCTTGTTTTTTGCTTTTATTTCTCAATTCACTGATTGTTTGATTGTTTTTTCTTTCCAATTTATCTTTTTCACTTTTCATTTTATTGAATTTACTTTCCAATTCATTTTTTTCACTTTTTAGTTCATTGATCATTTTATTGAAGTCACTTTTCAATTCATTATTCTTGGTTTCCAATTCTTGGATTTTAATTGATTGACTCCCAAAATTTATAAAATCCCTCATAAATTCATTTTTGTTTTCCAATTCTTTATTTTGATTTGCTAATTCATTGTATTTACTAGTCAAGTCATTGTATGTAATTTTCAATTCATGGATTATCTTGTTGGATTTGCTTTCTGATTCATTGTTTTTATTCACCAATTTTTTGATTTCACTTTTCAATTCCTCCTGATCTCTTAAAATATTAGTATAATCATCTTTATTAATTATAGAAAGCTTTCCAAAATCAAAATGGCTGATTGGTATTGTAACTTGTCCTTGTACAAATTGTTGTAATAATTGCAGGTGTGTGAATTTTTTCTGATTTTGCAAGAGTTGTTGCTGTTGTTGTGTGAATTGCTGCTGTTTTTGTAGGAGTTGTTGACGTTGTTCTAAGAGTTCTGAGAGATGTTGCTGGTGTTGTGTGGGTTTTTGTTTATATTCTATGAGAAGTTGCTGCTGTTTCTGTTGTGTGGATTGTTGCAGTAGTTGTAAGAGTTCTTGCTGTTGTTGTAAGTGCTCTTGCTGTTGTTCCAAGAATTTTTGTTGTTGCAAGAATTCTTGCTGTTGTTGTAAAGGTTGTTGCTGTTGTTGTTGTTGTGAGAGTTGTTGTTGTTGTTGTGTTAATTGTTGCTGTTTTTGTAATAGTTTCTGCTGTTGTTGTAAAAATTGTTGCTGTTTTTGTGGAGGTTGTTGTAATTGTTGTTGTAAGAGTTGCTGTTGTTGTTCTAAAACTTCTAAAAGTTGCTTTTGTAAGGCTTGTTGCTGTTGTTGTAAAACTTGTTCTTGTTGTTGCTGTTGCTGTTGTGTTTGTTGCTGTTGTTGTTGTAAGTGTTGTTGTTGTTGTAAGAGCTGTTGCATTTGTTGTAATTGTTGTGTGAGTTTTTTCAATTGTTTTTTTTTTTGTATGGGTTGTTGTTTTTGTTGTTCCAAGAGTTGTTGCTGTTGTTCTAAAAATTGTAGCTGTTGTTCTAAAAGCTGCTGCTGATATTGTGAGGATAATTGTTGTTGTTTTTTAAAGTTTTGTTCTTGTTGTTCTAAGAATTCTTGCTGATGCTGTGTGAATTGATACGTATCATAAGCATTCAGATTTTCTTTATCATTGACACCATCATCATACTCACTAAGACCTTCTGAAGTGACAATTGAATCCGCCATTTCCTTTTTTTTTTAAAAAAAAAATGGAAAAAATTTTGTGAAACTAAAATTTAAATTTAGAATTAATATGCGCAATGATCAATGATTTGAATACAGCTAATACTAAACTTATCAACAGAAGCTTTAAAATAATTATTATTACTGCCTCCATGTTCAGCAGAGATAAAGTATTTTAACAATATTCTACACATAAATTTCCATCTGTGTTTCATAATAATTTAATAAAAACCAATCTTGACTAAAATATGCAATCATAATAATTATTATAATTGTGAATTTATATTATTACTTATTGTTGTTTCTCAACTTGCCTTCCAATAAGTCTTTTAACAAAATTTCTTAATGAATAATAACACCAAGCACTCTTATTCAAAAATTTCTACAATCTATGAAAATCACACCATGGAAGAAATGACATGTTTGACGATTTGGTTGATAAATTACAACTTCATATCTGCTATAATTTACCTGATGTAGCTTAGCTTTTCAAAAAAAATACATCCAATTGAAATATTTAACATACACCTGAAATTTTATAATTAAGTCAATATTTTGTTGGCCATTCATTGCTTTCAATAACAGCTTGACAGTACCTGGGCAAAAGTATCGGACACCCTAAATGTATTAATTACACAAAAACGTACATAACAAGTATACAAGAAAATTTATGTCAGTTTATAGCTTAGGTTCCGAAGATTATGTATACAAGATCTTATGTTTCTAAATTTACTAGAACTTGAGTAATTAAAAATAATTACCCACAACTACATATTTTTATCTTGAAGTAGTTAAACCCTTATTGATCTAATACTTAGTTGGCCAACCATTACTTTTAATGCATGCTTGAATACTTTGGGGCATACTTTCTATCAAGTTTATTAAAACATTTTCAAGAATGTTTTTCCATTCTTCGTGAACATTATCTAAAATTTTAGGACGTCCACTCCTAGATAACGTTTTGACATCATCTCTCTCTTGAAAATTCTGGATCGTCCTTATTACTGTGATCCTAGAAAAACCAAGAATTTTACTGAATTTTACTTTTGTTGTGCCACTTTTATAAAGGCCGATTATCTGACCACGTTCATTTTCAGACATTTTATAAAATTTTTAATTTTTTAAAATTATCAACAAAAAAATATAAAAAAATTTTTATCTTGAGAATCAGATGATTTTAGATTATCATATATAAAAATTTCAAACCATAGTTTTTAGAAAAATTGTCAAAAATTTCTTCGTCGGGATTTATTTTCCCAAAGATGATCGTATTTCTTTTATTTTTAATTGCGCGAGTTCTAGAAAATTCGGTATACATGATCTTCGAAACCTAAGCTATAAACTGACATAAATTTTCTGTACATTTATTATGTACGTTTTTGCGTAATTAATATATTTAGGGTGTCCGATACTTTTGTTCAGGTACTGTACATATATATATCTTTTTTTTTTAATTATAAGAAGAGCATATTAATATATATATATCTCTTTTTTTAAAGAAAATAAAAGTTGTATATACCTTACTCTTTCATTAAAGAAATACAAAGTGTAGGAAAAGATACATGCATATTAGTGATATTTAAAGGTATTAGGACCACACTCCATGAAAATGCATAAAAGGTTCAAATTACATATACATCAGGAAAATGGGTACAAATATTATGCATATATAATACACAATTGCAGGGATTAAGCATATAATATGTGTACAA